TATATATATAAATATATGTCCTACTTGGCCCCTATAATGGTCATTCAAACTTGGCTACAGAAATTTGCGTAAAAAGCATTTGTGTAAAAAGGGTGTGATTGTTTGACATTTCGGTCAAATAAAAGAGTCTTCCGTCAATATGAGAACAGTTCCCACGCATCCTGTTGCTCTGGAGAACAGACACAGGTGGACAACCTGTCATTGTAACACAGCGCTGCCAAAACGTTGGTCTTTTGCTCCATGGCACTTGAGCTCTTGTTGGATCAAAGATTGCTGAATCGTATCGGCTGGGAAGCAGCCGCCTGTCCTTTAGAAATGAGATGAGATGAGAATCACTGTGTGCAACGCGATCCAGTAAAGTACGTTTTGCTTCACTGCTTAGATCAGATGGATATCAGGCTGGGAGTAACAAGATCTCTCATATGTTTAGGGTAGTTTAACTGCGCAGAACTGTAATTCATTGTTCTCTCAAAGAGCTGGGGGGCAAGGTTATTTTAAAGTTGTTTTAACTATAAGGACGGGTGTTTTAAAAAGAATCCCAGGACTTGTGTGAGCTTGCCATGCATGTGAACATCAGGTGTGCTACCCAGAAAGCATTTTAATTTGCTTTTTGCTATGCCACGTGTGCCAGGTTGAAGTTGGTGATATTTGCAAAAGGTTGTCACACGGATGTCCAAAGTTAAAGAAATAAAGGATTCACTGTGCGTGAAGAAATTCACATGATTATGGCACAATAAAGTCCGCTCCACCCTACTATTGGAAAAGGTTCAATATTTGATAGCAGTCGCAGGCCTCAGCCTACACTAATTCTACTCGGGTTACATGTCTCATCAGACCTCAGGGAAATCTCTGGACTGAATAACAGTGTTTGTTATTGTCATCTTTGAAGCTGGGATGAGATCATCCAGCTCATTAAAATCTAAAGTTCATGTGCAATTACACTTCTCAGCGGGATTTATGATGATATCCTGCTAGTAATGGCTTTACAGGCACAATATGGAGGTGTGACCAGAAAGTACTGAAGAACTGCTCACATGACACTGTGAAGAAGTCCAGGCTGTTTTTGTTATCATGAATATGGAAAATGAGCTGCCTTCTTCCCAAATTCCCCATAACACTCTCCATGGAAAAATACGGAAGCCATTTTTTAGAGATATTTTTATAGTGCTATTTTCCAATTCATTTTTAATTTGAGAATGGACTTGTGTTAAATATGTTTTCTAATTTCATACTACATAACCACAATTTGCTTGACTAACCTTGTAAAAGCTGTGTTTAAACATCTTTGGTGATGTTTTTTCCCCCAACTTTCCCCCACATTATTGTTATTTTAGTCAGGAGGAGGTTTCTGTCTTGTCTGGCTTTAGCCTGTTTTTCCAGATTCATATCGAGCATTCATATCATATCATAAGTGCTGAATCATTAAAACCAAGCAAAAGCTGCTTGATAATGTAATACAGATGCTCAGTTTTCTCATTGGCTTGGCCGTTGTCCAGTTACGCTCTCTGAATCGAATTTAAGTAATGGTAATTTCCAGTCTAAAAACAGCCGGCAGACATTACCCAGACTCATATTTTACAGAATAATAGACTGCATGGGTTTGAACTGGTTGGTTTGTGTTGGTGTCTGTTTGTTTGCAGGGGTGGATAGAGCGATGAGCCCACCCTGCCCGGCCTGTGGGACGTGTAGAGCGCTGCGTGGGCAGGAAGAGCGGAGAGAAGTAGCAAAGGATGAGAAGGAGGGTATGGGGCCTCTGCCAGGGCGTCTCAACGGCTGTGCTTTATGGCTCCCTGGCTCTGTTCATCTCCATTCTCCACAATGTCTTCTTACTGTATTATGTCGAGACCTTTGTGTCTGTTTACAAGATTGACAAGATGTCGTTTTGGGTGGGAGAGGTAGGTTTACTTAATGGTATCTTCAATTACGTAAGATTCTAAATTATTATTATTAATATTTGTAAAAAGAGTTATAATGCTGAAAATTCAGCTTTGCCATCACAGGATTAAATTACATTTTAAAATATATAAAAATAGAAAGCAGTTATTTCAAATTGTAATAATTTTTCACAATATTACTGTTTTCTACATTACACAATGTTACTGTATTCTTGATCAGATAAATGCAGCCTTGGTAAGAATATGAGACTTCTTTCAAAAACATTAAAAAAATTGTATACAGTATATTCTAATTATTTGAAATACTTATTAATTATATTTGACTAAAATACATAAGCTTTCATTAGTCAGAAATTTTTACCATATTTTTCGGTAACACTTTACAACAAGGTTCCATTAGTTAATGTATTAACTAACATGAACGAACCATGAACAGTACATTACAGTATTTATTCATCTTTCATGTTAGTTAATGAAAATACAGTCGTTCATTGTTAGTTCATGTTAATTCACACTGCATTAGCTAATGTTAACAAGCACAACTTTTGGTTTAAATAATGCATTAATGTTGAAATTAACATGAACTAAGATTAATAAATGCTGTAGAAATATTGTTCATTCTTAGTTCATGTTAACTAATGAACCTTACTGTAAAGTGTTACCTATTTTTCTTTTCTGTTCATTATATTGTTTCTTTTTCACAGACTGTGTTTCTGATATGGAATAGCCTGAACGACCCTCTTTTTGGCTGGCTGAGTGACCGCTCATTCCTGAGCTCTCCTCAGTAAGATTATTCACTCTCTTCAAATTGGAAATCAATATTTTGGTAAGATGAGTACATATCTCATTAAATGTCTGTGTTTGATTGCTCAGGTCTGGGTCCCAGATCACGTCCCCTGAGGTGGTCCTGAAGCGTCTGCAGGCACTCTCCCGCAGCGGGCCTCTGTTTGCCCTCTCATTCCTGGCCTTCTGGGTGGCTTGGACCTGGCCTGGACTGCAGTTCCTTATCTGCCTGTGCCTTTACGATGGCTTCCTCACGGTGGTCGACCTCAACCACAACGCCCTCCTGGCCGACCTGGCCGTGTCTGCACATGACCGCACACGCCTCAACTTCCACAGTTCCTTGTTCAGTGTAATGGGCTCGCTGTCCGTCTTCCTCTCTTACTCCTTCTGGAACAAGGAAAACTTCTACTCCTTCAGACTCTTCTGCGTGACTCTAGCCACTCTCTCAATGCTAGGCTTTCTTGTGGTTTCACGTCTCCTGCGGCACCGGTTTCAGAACGAAGTCCAGCCATGCAAGAATGAGAGCCAAGCACTCACTGAGTAAGAGCATTATTGTTTTGCAGTGCTAAATTTTACTTGTCGTTTAGCAGTTACTTTTCATCCGAAGCAATTTACACCACACTAATTGCAGAGCCGATCCCCGTGAAGCAACCTGGGGTTAACTGCCTCGCTCATGGGAGGAATGTTGATAGTGCTGGATGTGAACATGCAGTATTTGTGTTACCAGCACAGCTTCTTAAAGCAATATTTCACCCAAAAATGTTCATTTACTCAACCACATATTTTTCCAACTCATGTTATGTTCTACTATGAAACGTAAAAAGAGGTATTAGACAGAATATCCAAGCTTCTGTTTTCTGTACAAAGAAAAGTACATGAATATTTGTACAAAAAAGAACCATAAATGAGTGTATTACAGCCTATACTATGTTGATGCATCATGACTTCAGAACAGTGTTATTTTAGTATCTCTGAGATATTATATATATTTTTTAAATATTTTAAATGTTTTTAGATTTATATTTTCAATTTTTATTTAATTTGTTAAAGTTTTAGTAATTTTGTTGAGGTTTTTTTTTTTTTTTTTTAGTTTTGTATAGTTTTTTTTTATTTCTATGTAGTTTATTATTTCAGTTTTTGTTATTTTGGTTCATTAAGTTAAACTAAATGAAAACAAGAAATGGTGCATTGGCAACTAGCTGAAATAAAGTAAGTTTTTTAATATTTTATTTCAGATCATGTTTAAGTAACAATTTTTATAGTTTTAGTTTTAGTTAACTAACTACATTAACCTTGCTTGAGTTTAGGATACATTGTATTATATATTCAGGATGCATTTTTAACTTGAGTTTGGTGGTATTTCCCATGGTATGGAAAAGTGCAGCTCAAACATTCTGCCTTGCATCTCATTTTGTGTTTTACAAAAGAAAGAAAACAATATGGAGTTGAGTCAATGAGCACTTTTTTTTTTTTTTTTTTCTTTACTAAGAGCTGTTCCTTTAACAGTTAGTCTACCACTGCTTTTTCTTATCAAGCATTAATATGGCTTCAAAGTAATTTTTTTTTAATGGAGCAAAAATTATATATTTGGTTTAGCAGGTCACCTATGGATATTGTAAATATCGCAGCTTTCAAACAAATAATCAGTTTAATTTCAGGTTTAAATTTATGATAACAGTGTCAGCTGAAAACTAGAAAAAAGGAACATGAAAGCTGTGTTCTGTATTATTTATTCCACCCACACAGTATTGCTCAAGTTTTGAATCCTCTAAAACTGTTGTCATCTTGGTTTTACCTTTTTATTTTTTTCAATTCTATAATTCAGTTATCCATTTATTTAGCTGTTTTGCACTTTTCTAGAGTTGCTGGACTACAAACGTACTAACATTTAAAATGCTAAAATTGAAACAACTTCATATTAAAGTAATAATCCATTTGTGTTACAGTGATTTTACTTGCTTTAATTCACTGTATAAGTTTCCCCTCATCTTTTTTTTTTTCTTTCGTTGCCTTCCATTTGATTGCACATCCTCCTTGACATCCTAATAGACTGAGTGTCGGTCAGGCTCCTTTTACCTCACCTGAGAAGCCAGTCACTCTTGGGGAATATCTAAAGCAGCTGTCCCACCACAAGAACTTTATGTGGTTTGTTTCTATGAACCTTGTACAGGTAAAAATGTGCAAACATGCACAAAAGACTTTTTTTTTCTCTCTAATCATCCAATTAGAGACCCAATTTTATATGTCTGTCCTCTAACCCACCGTCTGCAGGTATTCCACTGCCATTTCAACAACAATTTCTTTCCTCTGTTTTTGGAGCACCTTCTGTCAGACCGTATCTCTGCTTCCACTGGCTCCTTTCTGCTGGGTAAGACAGAAAGGAACCATTCACATGGCCAATGGCATTATTATTGTCAATGCTGAAAACCGTTGTGTTGCTTAATATTTTTGTGAAAACCGTGATACATTTTTTAAAAAAATTCTCTATTTCTATTTTCCTGTGACACAGGCATTTCTTACATTGCACCTCATTTGAACAATCTCTACTTTTTGACGCTGTGCCAAAGACTGGGTGTCTACCAGGTTGTCCGCGGGCTCTTTCTTCTGAAGCTGGGCCTCAGCATGGCCATGCTCTTTGCCGGGGCGGACCACATGTACCTGCTCTGCATCTTTATTGCTAGGTGAGAAATGGAACGTTCCACGAGACCCTGTGCTTTCAGACTGCAGGTGTTCTGCCTCATATGTGATATGAAATTCAAAACTTTGTGAATGTTTTGGTTATTAGTTTTTGTTTAAAAGGAGCAGGTGTGCTTTTTGCTAGCAAATCCATGTTGGTTCAAGACTTGAAAGAGAGAACTTATATCCATGCTAACAGACCAAGAACGCATGCTGAGAGAAAACACACATGTCCTCTCTATACTGTTACTGTCAACTATATGACATTGCAAAACAGGGAGAATAGTTAGAATTAGGAATTAAGTAATCTTGAACATTGGTTAATGAAAAATTATATTTTTTTTTATTGAAGAAAATCCTTATGTACTAAATACTTATGAATTAAATATTTTGTCATGTCATATTCATTCATTTCAGACCATTTCTTTTTACAACTTCTAGTAAAATTACTGGTTTTGTAAAAATAGCAAATAATTTAGGTGATGATAAAGTGCAAAATGACGCAGGCCAAACCTTGAAAAAACAATCAATTCAAACAAGCAACGTGCATTAAAAATGATTATTTACTTACAGTACGTTTTAAGTAAAATTGTTTAATTATTGTGATAATGCGCTAGTCTATAACTTTGACGAGAAAACCCCACATTTTCACCATTTATTAAGTTGACACTAATTAGTTACTAAAAAGATGCACACTTGAGAACAGGTTTAGAAAATCTTTCATCAGCATTGTCTTTTGTCTGTTTTTCTTATTGTATTGCATTGTTTGATTCTCTCCATAGTAATCGCGTCTTCACCGAGGGCACTTGTAAACTTCTGAACCTGGTGATCACAGACCTAGTTGACGAGGACTTTGTGTTGAACCACCGACAACAAGCAGCTTCTGCCCTGCTCTTTGGTATGGTTGCCTTGGTAACCAAGCCTGGCCAGACCTTTGCCCCTCTCATTGGTACCTGGCTGCTGTGTCTCTACACAGGTGCGTGTGCAGTGAATGAACATGCATTATATGTAACATTCACATTTAGTAATTGCATTCAATTATTTAACAGATGCTTTTATCTAAAGTGACTTACAAATGAGGGAAAATGAAGCAAATGTTTCATACAAGAGCCAACAACAAAGAATCAGTCTAATAAATCCTGCATTGGACTTCGTTTGACACAATATATTATAAATATATTTAAATGTATTATATAAATTTTATATGCATGTGTCTGTGTGTGTGTATTTATATATATATATATATATATGTATATATATGATTTTTATTTTATTTTTATATATAAATGTGTTTTTAGTGGCCACAAAAATGTATTTCAAAACTTAAGTTGCATGTAAAAATATTTTAAATTGAATGCGTTAAATAACAAAATAGTAAACCAAATTGCATTTATTTTAGAGAACTGTAGTAGAAGCACATTTTTCAATAATAAATTCACACAGAGCAGTTTGTTAGGTTTTAAATTGAAATTACACTACTGTTTAAAGGTTTGGGGTTGGTAAAATGTTTTTTTTTTTTTTGAAGTCTCTTGTGCTCCCCAAGGCTTCATTTATTGGATTCAAATATAGTAAAAACGGTAATATTTTTGCAGTTTAAAATAGATTTTCTATTTGAATACATTTAAAAATGTACATTTATTGCTGTAGTGGCAAAGCTACATTTTCAGCATCATTACTCCAGTCTTCAGTGTCACATGATCCTTCGGAAATCATTCTAATTTGGTGCTCAGTAAACATTTCTTATTACTATCAGTGTTGAAAACAGTTGTGCAGCTTTATTTTGTGGAAACCATGATAACATTTGTTTCAGGATTCTTTGACGGATAAAAAGTGACTCTATTTGTGTCTCTCATCACCCCGTCGTTTTCCAGGATATGACATCTTCGAGAGAAACTCGATGGCAGAAGCACCTATTGCAGCTCCTGTGGTCCCTGTGCCACTGCGTCAGGGTTGCTTTTATCTGCTGGTGTTCGTGCCCATTTCCTGTGCCCTTCTGCAGCTGCTGACGTGGTCTCGCTTCACTCTGCATGGACGAAGGCTACAAAACATCAAGACCCTAAGGCAGGGTGCCCAACACAGCCACCTCATTGATGTCAAGGCTATCTAATGTTCTGGTACGCGTGGGAAGAGGAAAGAAAATGAGTCGTGGACACTCCCTAAGACCAGGCATGCTGCCAACAGACCCTGAATGGAGAATGGTGATGCCAAATACTGCAAGAGACACTAAAGAGAGAATGTATGGTCCCATCTTATTGAAACTTGCCTTAATTTGCTATGTTTGCTAACTGTTATATTGAGTATGTGACCAAAAATGAATAGACGGTTTAACCAGTCTAGTGGTTTGGGACCATATTGAACAGTACTGCCCCCAAACCTCCTGTTCTGAAGTTTCAATGTATAGTTATATGGGTTGATAATCAAGCCAAATCAAATCACATCTCCCTTGCCTGTATGTTTCACCTTTATGTGTAAAAATACACTGTGTTCTGAGAAAGGGCATGTTTGCAATACGTTCGGCAGTGTTCCAGGGATACATGATATGGAATTGCATGGATATCTGTGGTGTTTTCTTTTATACTGTCAGGACGTCTACATTGTCTTTGTAATTCAGCCAGATGTTGAAGTTTTTTTGTGGCCAGTAACATCTGTTTTATATAACTTTTTGAAATTCATTCACATGAACAGAAATGCAGATTCTGTGTTGTACTAGCATGTATAACTAACTTATTTTTGTACCAAATGTCTAATTTCACTTTATTTTGAGTTGTCAAGACGGTAATGAATTCCTTGGCCAGTCTGATGTTAAAATGCAAACTGACTTCTCAAAGTTGCAGAAATAGTTTTGTATAAGGGTTTTCCAAATTAAAATTTTTATTGCCAAATTTATATTCTTAACTTTTAGTAAAAATACCATTTTGACACATGTGTGAAGTTGCATTTCCTGTATGATCGTTGCAAAAAAACATGAAGAAACGTCTCAATATTTTAATATTTTAGGCCTTAGATGGTTAAAAAAAATTGGTCAACTACTGGTTTGGGCACAATGAGCACATCTGATGTTTTATTCATATTTCATGGTTATTTATTGTAGGAAACATTTGATTTGATTTTAGAAAATGTTCACATTTTTACACAAATGTGTCAGAGTCTTGAGCTATGGCTTAGGATGTATGAGCTATTTTCGTGCTTTTGGCCATTGTTTGATTACTTTTGCTTGCAAATATATGTCGTTTTATAATAGTAATGTCTCAATGTGATATTCTTGTCTTTGCTAAATAAATACTTAGAGACAAAATTGTAGTTATTGCTTTAGCATTAACCCATTTTAAACTCTAAAATATAATTTGTATAGGCCTACAACCAAACCTTTTAGAAGATTCAGTTCATTCATCCATCGTTTATTTTAAAAAAGTTGTGAACCTGCTAAAAGCCATTTAACATATTTTACATACATTATGCATTTTAATAGCAAAACCAATGTGCAATACAAGAGAAAATAATTAAGTACATTCTGGTCATGGTGGGTTTTACTCAGTATGTGCATTTTGGCACTGGATCATTGATCTTGGTGTATGTCATATAAATAAGTATACACCTGGTGTATGCATATAAATACCAGAATGACCCAACAAAATGAGGCACCACATGACTAGGTAGGTGCAGGTTTCAAATTACTTTGTATAATTGATTCCCATGAGGACAGCATACAGAAAAAAAAGCCTCTAGAGTTTTCAGCATTCTGTCCTTTTGTCTAGAAGGTTGTGAAATGGCAAATTGGGATTGCTGATCATATGTGTAATAACATTTACAGTACGAGCAAGTGCTTGTCATCTCAAAAACACTATTAGAGATTCTGAATGTGACTTATTTTTTCCTGTACTGTCTACGTCACCTGTCGGATATTTGAGTAGTTTCCTATGTGGGAAGGACTGGATTATGTCAGCGAATTTAACAACTTCATGTCATTACAGCTCGAGTAAGAAATCCCCGTAAGCCCCCCTCTCACCCATTCCCTGAACTGATTATGGTTTTGGTGATGACGAAGCTCCTCTTAAAAGGGCAACAACAACTGATGTAAGGTAATGTAGAGCTGGGTATGGGTTGAAAATTTAAATTGAAATGAAATCAGCCAGTTAACAAACTCAGATTCACAAAATAACACACTTTTCTGATAAATAAGGCTCATTAATTAGAGTGGCTCCATATTTGTGTATTTATAAAACTATTTTACATCACTCAGCACCAGTGTTGGGGGTAACGCATTACAAGTAACGCGAGTTACATAATCAGATTACTTTTTTTCAAGTAACTAGTAAAGTAACGCATGCAATATTGTAATGCAATACTTTTAAAAGTAACTTTCCCCAACACTGCTCAGCACAGAGACAGTACTGTTTTGTTCGTTAATGAATCATTGTATTTGAACAAATCTTTTGAATGAATCATTCTCGTTTACGCACGGAATCATAATTTTTACTCACTGAAGTCTCCCCTTTACCACTCATAATAAATGACACTCGTCACAGCTGGATGCATAACTTGCAGAAAAGGTCGCTGCTAACAATCAAATTAAAACTGAAATAAAGTAAATAAATTAAGCCTTATAGTTAAAAGACAAATACAAATTACAAAAGCACAAAATAATATACCAAATTGAAAATGAGACTGAAAACATAAATGATTACTATTTCTGTTTTATACACATATCTTTATTTCTTATTATCTCTGTGCTGTTGTCTCTGTGTCCTAGAAGCTTCTGCTCCCAGAACAAATTCCTTGTATGTGCAAACCTATTTGGCAATAAAGCCCTTTCCGATTCTGATTTTAGTGAACAGATTTAAAAGTTTGGAGTCGCTGGGATGATTCAAAATCCCCACTAATCTTCGCGTTATTCCCCCGATGTCGATGCCCTTTTAAACAAAGCCCCGCCTCGTTGCTCGAAGCCCCTCCTTTTGGCATGTCAAAGCGGAGACGAGTCACGTGATTGGCGGAGTGGTCGTTGGGAGGGGAGGAGCGAGTGTGAAGCTCTGTGTGTATTGAAACTCTCTTTTCTGTCCCTGCATTCCAACCCTGATCAAAGCCTGAAGGAGAGAAGAGGGGGGAAAAAACCATACATAATACCATGGTGAGATCGGCCCGTTTTGAGGATCGACCCATGGATGCACGCTCTCAGGAATCGGCCACGATAGGACTCGGAAGCAGCGAAGAATCGCACGCCTGTAATCCACTTTTGATTTATTTTAAGCACTAAAGCGAGACAGGCTTGATGGGGGCCAAACAGAGACGTTTTCTTTTTCATTTTTAAAGAGGGACGCAAGATGGCAGATGACAGACTCCAGTAGCGAGAACCACTCCGTTTCGCTTTAAAATATGTATAATTTTGGAGGTGTATCGGAGTAAGACTTCGTCTTTTCTCGCCTGAAGAGATCAAAGTGAAGGCACTCGGCAGTCCAGTTTTCTCTAGACTTGGTTACATACCAGTGTATGTTCTCTCTATGTTCCTTTGTTATAATGAGGGGAAGTCTAGTATGAGCGTAGTCTACACATATGTGTAAGAATTAACCGATTTGGTCTGGTTAAGATCGTTGTTTTCTATGAAATTCAGATTTATAAGACGCTACGGGGGATGTGCGATATGAGTACGTTATTTTAATATAAAGTGTAACGCACGTCTGTATGGAGAGCCAGCCGAACCATTATAATCCTCTTTGGAAATAAAATCCATGTCATTGTGATGCGATGTCAAAATAGCAGCGGACAATAACAACAAAAGCCTGGTAGTGAGAATACTAATTTACTTCCAACAGCTTTTATTAGTCTCTCGCTCGAGGCTGTTCGCGAAAAACGGCCTATTTAACGTTACCTAGTAAACGAGGAGCTGTCAGCAGACTAGATTATTCATAGATACATAACTAGTGGGCGCAGGAATCGGCCACACGTGTAGAATATGAACTAGTGTGTTGGCATTTGAAGTCACAAGACAGAAAAGTCCACTTTAGTGCTGTTGCAACACCAAATTCTCGCGACGCCTACAGTTGACACGAACGAATGAATAAGTGGGTGGTGTAATGATGTTGCCTTGAGCTAAAGTGTGCTCAAAGTATACTCTTCTGGAGTATTCACACTCTCACTGGCACAAAGTTGAGGTTTGTGGGATAAAACAAGGTCCTTGTGGTTCCCACTCCACCCATTTCAGTGTCGACAGAGGAGCACCTATTTTATACAGTTTTTACATTGACTTGTCAGCATTAAAGATGGCTGAGAACTGGAAGAACTGTCTGGAAGAGGAGCTCATATGCCCTATTTGTTTGAATGTGTTCTCAGAGCCGGTTCAGCTCCCTTGCAAACACAACTTCTGCCGCATGTGTATCAACGAGGCCTGGTCTAAAGACACAGGAATGGTTCGCTGTCCCGAATGCAACCATGCCTACAGCCAAAAACCAGCTCTGGAGAAGAACCACAAACTGTCCAACATTGTGGAGAAGTTTAACGCGTTAAATGTTGAGAAGACTCCTGCGGTCTTGCACTGCATTCTGTGCCGGCGCGGCCCTCCACTTCAAGCCCAGAAGGTTTGCCTCAGGTGCAATGCACCCTGCTGCCATTCCCACGTACAGACCCATCTCCAACAACCCTCTTCTAACGCTGGACACTTACTGGTGGACGCCGAGGACGTGCGGGCCTGGAGCTGTCCACAGCACGACGAGTACAGACTATATCATTGTGAAACCGAGCATGTGGCCGTCTGCCAGTACTGCTGCTTCTCCAGATGTGCTACCAACCACGGCCACGCGGTGTGCGATATAGAAGTCAGACATAACGATATCAGAGTAAGTGGCCTCAACTACTTGTGTTCCTCCCCACGCTATGTTCTACATTCCATTGTTTTACCTCCAGCTAAAGGTTGTGGTTCACTTCTGGATTCGGTGGAGACTACGACGAGGTTTATCTATGTAGTTGCTAACTATTCTGTCCCCTTCCCCCCTTTTTTTCTCCATTTAATGATAAACAATTGGGTAGAGCTGCAAACAATACCGAAGCTCTCCTTTGGGCTTATCTTCCCAGCACAGGTGCATCCTTGCGTGGCGTTTAGGGGAGGGGGAGGACTGCGACTGGAGAATTTAATGATGAGTCTTATTTTCTGTGGCACAGATGAGGGAAAAGGCCAGATTTGGATTTAATTTACCCTTAACAACCCCTTGCATTTTCTAGGCTCGCTGGAACAAAACAACCTGTATTTTCTTGCTTTAAATAATCAGCATTGCACAATGCTCTTGAAGATGCTTTTATAGCCTTTTCATAAACCTAAAACCAAATAAAATTCACAGCCAGAATGGGTTTTTAAACTAGGATATTATATTTGCTTCAAATATCTCAAAACAAATCTCTTTAGTTAGTACAGGATGTGACTAGGAGTTATGTATGATGCTTTTTTTCCCTTTACAATAGCTTTGTTTGTATGAAGTAAAGCAGTGTGCCACCGATTCGATTCATGTGCATGCTGTCAGCATAATTTCCATTTCTGTTGATTATAGAAATCAGTTATCCCAGGCATTTCTGTGACAGGACATGCTAGCAATGACCAATCAATCTACAAAATGAACCATTGTTGTGTTGTAGCCCAAGCTATTTGAAACTGAAACCATGCCCGTTTGGGATGTTTCGGGATTTCCAGAGTTGTTTTTCACAGGTAGTCCTTGTTTGTGAATGTTAAGTTTACCGTCTTTGATAGACACCATTTGTCCTTCTACGTTCATCTGCTACAAAGCAAAATGGTTCTGTCTGGGGCTGTAGCTCAGGGCAAGGTTGCTATTGCCTCGTTCACTCTGACCTTGGCGGAAGAGACGCTGTTTTGAAATGACAGTGATTTTGAGCACCCTACCCCCATTCCCCCTTGAGAGAGGTCCGTCCTGGATGGCAAGCCAGCACCGCTGCCATGAGGTATTAGGTTCCACCCTCCAGGCTTCTGCCGGCAGCCCGAGCTCATCAGTCACTACAATTAGGCCATGGTCTTAGATCCTAGAGCTTCAAAGACATTCTCTGTCTCCATGCGGTTTTCTGCTTATTGACCTTTCTTCTGTTCCTGATTGTTGATTTAGATAAACACCAATTTAATCTGTAAATGAGTAGATGGTTTAGAACTTGTGTTTTCAGAAACCAAACACGTATTGTTGGCCATTGTGACGGACGTCGCCAAATTCACAGTATTTCACCACAGATTAAAGAAATAGTTCACCCAAAATTTAAATTGTCATCATTTATTCACCCTCATGTAATTTAGTTCTTCTGCAGAACAGAAAGAAGAACGTTTTTGGCTCTACAATGAAAGTCAGTAGGGTCCAAAACAACACTGGACCCAACTGACTTTCATTGTGTGGACAAAAACACATTAAGACATATTTCAGGATACAGGTTTTCATACAGGTCATGAAGGTAAGTAACTGACGGCCAGATTTCTATTTTTGGAGAACCATCGCTTTAAATTACCACAGTAAGAGACTTAATAGGGAGAAAATGGCTCCATATGGCTTTAAATTATGTACCGCCGCTGTAAAAATGTATGCAAGATAGATCTCCTGCTGTGCTAAGATGAATATTACACATCATACTGTAAATATGTGTCATTTTTGGTAGTGTAGAGAGGTTAGTGTAGTCTGTATGAGTCTGATTCATTGCCAAATCCAATTCCTTGGATCCAAATCTTGGTAATGGATTTACGCCACAAGAAAATCGGTTGATGCACAGGCGAGATACATGAAAACAAGTCCGTTTACCCAGTATCATGTGATTGTGGATCCAATTTGTCATGCGCTCCACAAACAAAATCTGTTGAAAGAAAAAGGTTTGGCTGTGCGTATCATCGGCAGTGATTGATGTAGTTCATTTTGCACAGAGGGTACAGTCAGCTGTTATAAGTGTCTGTCAGACGGTGTGATTGAAGATCATTAGTTTGCAGCGCATCCCTCTCTGGGTCTTGCGTTTGTCCTGTACTGCTGCATTCTGAAGACTGACATTGATTCCCTTTGTTTTTTACTCTTTGTTGCTGAGATGAATCAGAATTATATAATGGCATTACTCTCGAGTGTGAAGAAAAATACCAAAATTGATTTCTTTGCTTCTACGAGAATACCTGTTTTGTTTAGGCTTTCATCCCGCGTGTGAGGTTATTAAAATTTGATGTCACACTACTGAATTAGACATGCCCTCAGTCAACTTTGGCATGCAAGCCCTGTTTTTCGCCTGTAAGCTTTTGAGCATAGTGGCTTGATGTGGTTGAGGTTTGTCCTCTTTCTACAGGAAGCAGTTTTATCTTTGAGGTAGCCTGCATTCATTATGGATCTTTGCTCCAAAATACACACTCACAGGGTCAACGTGATTTGTCTCTGCCTTGGACGCAGACAAAGACAAAATGGGGAAAGACGGTGTGAAATGAGCCTTCCTTCTTTCTCTGTGCTCTCCTCTATGCTGTCTTTCCTTTTTTTCCTCCCTCATATTCCCCTCTGAATATACAGATATGAAAAAAAGAGCTTTGTTGCCATGACAGCACCCCCACCTTCTTTTTGGTGACTGCCTCTCGCACGAGGCATTTGTTTAATTAAAACTAATTTGGTTTGTTGCTAAGGTACCACTGAACTTTGTCAGGCATCGCAAGTCGTTTGTTGATTGTGTTTTTCCCTTTGTTTGCCATTGAATATGAAAGGAAAATAATTGAAATTCCTCTTCAGCCACCAGACCTTCTCCGCGGGGCCTTGACAATTGCATTCATTGAAAAGAAAGGAACAGGAAGTTAGCAAAGTTACATTTGTGCCATCACAACAGAACTGACTTTTTATCTTTTTGTCTTAGTGCTGCATTCTCATATTCTTTATGTAGTTTTTGAAAGAAAAAAATATGCTAGTTAACTGGAATACTAGATTGTTCATTTATGTCATTGTCTAGCAATAAAATAAGACTGAAAATGATTTTCTAGTATCAAGAATTCTTAGTTTATGGTTCAAACTGAATTTATATTACAGCATTAGTAATGTAGAACACAGATCTTGTCTTCCTTTATTTTGTATATAGCTTGAATTCTACTCATTGTCATTTATATATGATCTTTGTGCTGAGCTAAATATTAGATATTTATTCATTTTACTGGTGATATACAAGCAAACAACATTGTGAATATTGTGATCTATTAAATGCCTATAACGTTTCCTTAAAAACATATCATTACAGTAGTTTTGTGATTCTTTCTTGCTTTTTCAGTATGATATTAAGACATGCTTTTAATAGTGTCTCTGATTAAACTTTTAGAATGACATAAGATTTTGTAATTTTTTTGTCAGTGACTTTATTATAAATTATACTTCGGTAAATATTGCTGTTTGAAACGGTGTTGTTTTTTTGGGGGGGGGGGGGTTTAAGCATACAAATGAAACTGAAAATATCATTCTTTCTAGTATTCAGTTCTCATGAAACCCACATTTCATGCACTAATTTATTATTATACAGTGTCATGCACACAGAGGAATTTCCTTTGTTCTGAAAGCCATGAACATTTTCACCAAAGTGCCATTTCCACTCCACCTCAGGTCATGTAATTTCATAATATTCTGAAAATGACTGTGGTGGAAATGACATTTTTAAAGTGAGGAATAAAACTGGCTTGGGTAATTTCATAGCCAGCATTTTATGTGTCCAAAATATACAAATAATTTTTACACATTTTGCGTAATTGTATACAAATTGCATTGCAGAGTGGAAAAGACATACAAAAATATTCTGCTCACAAGTTACATTTGCATTTTTTTCTTATTTCATCTCAAGCATGGTCTTCACTGACAATATTCTTTAAAAACTAGGAGCAGTTTGTGGCAAAATGGTTGATTCTGGTGGAAAATGGTTTAGGATTATTTTGTTTGTTTTTGAATGTAATTGTTTACATTTCTGTTATCAGCCGATTCTGATCATCTCAACATGGCCAGATATTCTGTATAGTATACGATAGTATTATAGTCAAATCAAAACAGTATTGCCCTAATCATATCTTTTTGTATTTCAGCAAATGCTGATCAAACAGCAGGATCGAATTGAAGACCGGGTTCAGGACATAGAAGAGCAGCTCTACAAATTAGAATCTGACAAATGTCTCATGGAAGTAAGTGTGAAATGTTCATGCTGTACACTGACTAAATCACATTATTATAAACAGAACAACTGCATCCTTTGCTTTGTGAGCTTTGAAACTAAACACTTAGCTTTTTAAAACAGGGCACTCTTCCTATTACTGTGATTAATGACCACATTAGTACTTTCGTACAGGTTTGAGATAAAGGTTATGCCTAGTTCTTGTACCATAACAAATCCAGTTCCTTTGGCTCTTCCTAATCATCCACATCAGATGCAGTCTCTGCTTAACCCCCATTGTTAAGACAGAACAAGACTTGCATATTAAGTAATGGTTTTGTGCCGGTCTGTGGAACCTCAGGACAAAGTGCAGCACCTGAAGGAGGAGGTGCAGCTGCAGTATCAGAAAATGCAGCAGCTCTTGGAGGAGGATCTGGGGAAGACCCTGGAGGTCCTGGATAAGGCCCATTCCAAGTTCTGCCAGGAAAACTCTGCGCAGGCCCTGCAGCTTCACCAGAAACAGCAAGAGGTTAAGAAACTGCTCAGCTCCATCCAGATGGTTTTTGATAAGGCAGAGGACATCGGTTTTATGAAGGTGACCTGACTTTTATTGCTGTTGTCAATACTACACAGCCTGTGTTTGTTATAAATGGTGACATTTAGCCATGTTTTAAAGTGCCTTTGCCTTTTGTTATGGTGAGGATGATGAAGAGTATTTTTCTGCCAGGCTGTTATGAGTGAACTCAGATTTATTGTGGACCATGACAGTGTAATAGTATACAAAGATTCCAGAAAATTATTGTTTTTGGCCCCATGTAGAATAGGCATCCATTTTTCATGTGCTGGATACATCTCTCTGAAATTCAGGAAATATTAAGTATGAAAATGTTTTTTTTATTTTTTTTTATAGGTTTTGTTTTGTTTTTTAGATTTATGGATGTAAAGTCAGATTCAGCTATTTGTTAATGTTGAGCTAAACTATGTGATTTTAGAGATATTCGTCAATGAGAAATGTTTAGTGAGAGGGGAACAAATACTGGTTAGTATAATTGCTAATTCTGTAGGAGAGAGGCACTATAAACCAACAGAGATACTAAAACCAAGAGAAACTCCTTTTGTTATTCTAATGAAGAAAAAAAAAAAGCCAACAGCTGATTTTTTTCCACCTGTCAACAGTCTGTTGCAGACATGCATGTCCCACATGCGTCTCATATCATCTTGTCCTTGAATTGCGCTTGTTTTCACTGCAGTCTTATTTGAGCTTCTTGTATTCAATTGACTTGCAAAAAAAATCAGTTCTGGAATTGTTTTGCTTTATTTGGAGTGCCAAAACCCACACACCAACTTTGTTGTGCAAAAACCCCCACACAACACTGGTGGGCAGGGCCTACTTGCTGTCTGTGTCTATATTTGTCATTTTTCATTACCGCTATAAAGATTAAAATAAAGTTCTGCTGCTGATACACAGACAATTTCCATATATATTTTTTTTATGCTAAGTGTATAATGATACTATTCTATTGGCACTCTAATAATATAATATCATATATCATGTCATATATCATATCATATATCATATTGGCCTGGTTTCACAGACAGGGTTTAGGTTAAGTCAGGATTAGGCCAAAGTTCAATTAGGACATTTAAGTATCTTTTATAAATGTGCCTTCGAAAGTAACATTAGCCTACTCATGTGCATCTTGAGACAAAACAATGGCACTGACATTTTAAGATCTGTCGGTGCAAGTTTCTTCCAGTTAAAACAATCCCAAAGTATTATTAGAATAATATAAAACATTATTTGCATCTTGTCTAGTAAAAATTACTATTATAAGAGCATTTTTTTATTTTATTTTCGAACATTTTACCTTTTATAAATAGAGACTGGGCATAAGAAACAATGGGGAGTAATGCCTGCGCAAAAATACCTTTGACAGTTACATAGTTACATTTTTGTTGTTGTTATTTTATTTTTATTTTTAGATGTATTTTATGTGCAGGAACCCTGTTATTGAAATGATATATAATATCTTTTTTTTTTTTCTTTTTAGAACACGAAATCTGTGAAAATACTAATGGACAGGTGAGTCACTGCAGCGTTTTCATACATGAATCATTATAAGGTTCATTAGTCATCATTCCTGTTTTGTCATTGTGTTAAGTGTAACCATTAGCTTGCATGGTTAATTTTTTGGACTCTAGGTCTCAGCCGTATGTGGGCAGCACATTGTCACCATACAAAGTGGGCAGCCTCAACTCCAAACTCTTTCTGTCTGAAATCTCTAAAAGAGAGAAGAACATCTGCAAGATGCTGGAAGGTATGCATTAAAAAATACATATATTCAAGTATTAATTATATTAAACCTTCTTATGTTGCATCCAGCTGCTCTTTTTTTAAATAATTAACCGTTTCTGTAAATTATTTTTTTTAATCCTTCTAATTTCCAGCTCCGTTCAGTGCACCTGCAAACTTTTTCCAGAGTATTCCGGCGTACATGTGCGAGAAGCGCAGGCATTCCGTGGCGTTCCCTGAAGGCAGCGGCAGCACCCGAGCGGGTGCTAGCTACATGGACTCTTCCTCCTCATCAGGCCCTGCGGCTGCCAAGCAGCCGTGCCTGAGTCTCACTCAGGGCTCTGCCCCAGGCGAAGGTCAGTCCTCCCAGCAAGCTCTAGGGCCATGTGGCTCCACCCAACACGTAGGAACCAGCAGCTCAGCCTCCGGCTCTCAACCCTTACCACACTCTGCCTCGGTATTCCCGCATTCCCATTACCCAAATGGCAGCTCCTCCCAGCTGTCCCAGTACGGAGCGCGGAAGATCCTGATGTGCACGGTCGATAACTGTTACTGCTCAGGGGTGCCCTCTGTGTCCAATCACCGCGGCCATCCGCCCTACCCTCGCTCCAGCTCCTTCCCCTGGCCAGTGAGCTCGCAGGAGTACTCCCACGCTCCCCTGCCCTCGGCCCCGGCCATGTCCCAGTCTCTCCAGAGCCTGTCCATGCGCGACTGGATCGACGCCTCTCAGTCGCACAGGCACACTGACTTCTACAGCCTCTACGGCCAGTCTTCCACCAAGCATTACGTCACCAGTTAACCCCTGCTCCAGTGACTGCTGCCAGTCACCAGATGGGGCGTCTTTTTCCGCCGAGAGATGTCTTAAAGAGATGCATGTGGGGCATTTTTGTACGCAGACCTTATCAATCATTTAGAATTAACTTGGATGAACTGCTGAAGTCCGAGAGCAGTGAAAAAGAAAGTTAATATCACAAAGTCAAGCATAGCTTTGCACATTATTTAGGCACTAATGGTGTTGTGATTATGTACCATGAACTCAAGTGGCTCTTCTAAAAATAACACTCAATGTTTGCAAGAGATGGAGAAATGATGGAGGATGCTGTCTTTTGTCGAATCATCAATAATGTTGCACTTTCTTTGTAAGATCAAAATTTTCGCAATTACCGTTGACTCATCGGGGGAAACGATGGAAGTCAGCAGTAAAACCATTAAGTCAGCTCTTAATGAAACTTAAGGCAATTTACTGTTGAGAGAATTGTAGCCCACAAAGTTTTATTAACTTCACATGGTTGTCGTTTGTTAGAACACCCATGTGCAAAAACTCTGTATAGTTTCCCAACCTTCCATATTTCAGCTTTAATTTTGTTTAAATGGGACTCTGTGGTCTTTTTATTCATCACAAATAGCACAAGTACATGTTAATTTGAACCATTCTTAACTGTTTTTTCTTAACCCGGAAACTGGAACAGCACAACATTGTCATCGCCGCCATTGTTCGCTTGACCTTCCCTACTGAATGCAGCTTTTTAATGGAAATGCCCTTCACCTTGGTTCACAGTCCTCTCCTCTACGCGCCTCCACCCACAACCTTCAATCTGGTCCTTCAATCAACCTTCAAAAGCCACAGAAACGCTCCCCTTTACATCCTGTATGTTAAATGCAGGATGCATTGGTTTCGCATTCTTTCTTTACCCGTGGCCTCTCATTATATCTGACTCAACAGCGGCTTTAGCGCAAACGTGTCAGCCGAAGACGAAATGGCCTGTGTTCAGAGGGTCATGGTGCACTTGATGCCTGTGCATTTACTGTCAATGCTGTAATTGTTCTTCCTTGTGTTTCATGCCGTTTCCGGCTCCAAGCAACGGAGCCTCTGGCTTCCTGTTTGTTACTGAGGGCATGTGGGAAAAGAGTTTATGAGCACTCGTAAAAAAATAATAAAACTGTTAGCAGTTATAAAATGACTTTTGAAACAGGGAATGAAGTTTTTGGTTTTGTTTTATTTTTTATTTTTTTTAGATCTACTTAAGAGAAACGTTGACCAATGAACGTTACGAAACTAACTGAATACTTGGGATAAGAAATGGAGGGATTTTCTGTTGTAAATATTTTGTGAAATGAAAAAGAAAGACTTGTAATTTGGAAAGATTCTTGTTCAAATAAATGCTAATTTCAAGTTTAAGAAGTTCTTTCCACAGTTTCTTTGTTTTTGTGCTGTATAATGAATCTTAACCTTACGTTCTTTATGTGTGTGTTGCAGATTAAAAATAGACTATTGCTAACATCACTATGGTAACACTTACATTTAACACTTAATTTCTATCAGTGTAAGTCAAATTATTGACATAAATGCTTCCAGCCTAGACCAGACTTTAAGAAATGCTGTTAACATGTAAATGAATTTGAGAAATGTGCACTATTTTTTCTTTTATATTTCAGAAAGACCGTGAAGCCATTTTCAATGCAGAAAGGTTGTGATGGAAAAGATCAGGATGGTTAAATCTAAAACCCATCAAACAAAATGAAAGCAAAAACAAGCAAATGAGTCAAAGTCAAAATGCCCTTCGCCTCAGTTTATTGATTTCTAGACAAGAAATTTAGGTCAGCAGTGGTTTGATTTTCATTGTTTTCATCTCTAAACTGACAGCGGCCCATTCACTTTTGATGTGACTAACATACCAGAACTTACAGCACTTCTAGAAGAGCCATTTTATATGTATTTTTCTCCTTTTAACGTTTCTGCTAAATGTGAGATTTTATGCATATAAGGATTCACTAGCTTTAGCATAATGTAGACACAGCCACCTGTCAGTGTGTTTACAATGGCGTGTGAAAAATGGGAGACAAATAGTGGGTGTGATCAGCATATGATGACATTTGCTGTTTCTACTAAGCCAATGGAAATAATTAATGTATATGCAACTGACAAAAATGAAGGCTTGTTCAGTTTGTTTTTGTACGTGTATATGTGAAGAGAACCAAAGATTTATTACCAATCTGCGTGACTAAAGCCGAGTGATCTGAGTTGGATACCTGCCTCTCACATGTGGCTACATGTGGAACAAGATGCTGTGAAGTACGTGTGTGTGCGTATCTGCAAGAATGAGTCTTCGGTGATGTTTGTATAACCCGAGAGTGAGCAGGGTTTACTCTCCCCTTCCTCGGGTTTCCTTTCTTGAAAGAATGTCAGATGCCTGACTCTAAATAGCAGCTCAGCATTTTTAGTGCATCACAAGGCAAACAGAAAAGAAAGGCTGAGATCTCTGTAGACTGGAGCAAAGAATAGACAAACAAAAAAAGGAATAAGAAAACATCTGGCTTCTCTGAAGTGCACAATTTATCAGTGCACTGCACAAAAACAGCTTCTGTATGGCCAATTTCCCCATTGGAAAAGACTGTGTATGACTCTGCTAGTATGTGCTCCTGCTAGCAAAGAGCGCAGCTGTCACACTAATGCAGAACTTCTGAATATGATGCAAGGTGAAATAAAGGCCAATGCTTGAGTGTTAGTATGAGCATATGAATTGTATGTGTCATGACAATCATGACATTTGATTAGTTTAGGGAAGTAACTGGCAAAAAGTAGCACCATTATTCTAACTTAGCTGCATTTTTTTTACTAGTAGTACAGCTATTTTCAAAATATTAATCCAGTATGTTTTTTTTTTTTTTACAAAAACAGTAGTGTAGCTTGAAAAAATAAATACTTCTTGGGTTTTTGTATCATGCAGATAATCAAAATGGGACTTTTGTAGCTGTGCTAGCTAAGCTAGCAGGCTAACTGTTAAGCAGTATAGCTATGAACCACTTATACGGCCTACACTATGCACTTAAACTACACGTGATCTTCAGTCTAGTGTGTGAATTTTATAAAGTTATTTACATATATGTCATCCACCATTCAGAGAATTTGTTATTTGAGTATTTAAAGTGCACTTTCATTTTGGATGGAGTTTTCAATGTGAACATGCTACTCACACAATTTATACTGCAACATGGTGTGTAAATATATATTTTGGCAGCAAGTATGCTAAGATGCCAGGCTAATAGGTTGTTTTCACGATGCGTCATCAATCCGGAAGTCGGCCATATTGGCGGCACTGAACGTAAACAATGCCACTGAACCGAACAGAACTCGTGTATGGGCTTGGCGAAAAAAACGAAGTAGTTCACTATGTCGGGATAAGAAATAGAAGGAAGAATTGTCAGGTCGTCAGTCCACGACAAAAGAGCCAGCTCGTACCGATCTTTACCACCTATTAACTTTAGTTTGTCAAAATATTGCGCCCTGTCCTGCTTACTAAGTCCTTCTCTGATTTAGCAGCTTCCACATGTTTTTTTTTTTTTTTTTTTTTTTTTTTTTTTTTTTTTTTTTTTTTTTTTTTTTTTTTTTTTTTTTTTTTTTTTTTTTTTTTTTTTTTTTTTTTTTGTGGTTTAGACATCATAAATTAGCAGAACAATGTCTTCAGTAGTACGTTAGCTTGCAATCCATGCTGTTGTTTACATCTGAGTATCTGCAATATGGCTGCGCATCCAGGTAACTGACCAAACCGTGATGTAGGCGCAAACGCTCTATAGGCTAGTGACATATAAAGCTGGTCTAATTGGTTAATCGGTTAGCATGTAGACTAAAAAAAGAAACTAGCTGAATTTGGAACCGCATACTACTCTTGCTGCTCCTACCATACTTTTATATAGCAGAAAACTAAGAGTATGTAAGTATGTGGTTCCAATTTCAGCAAAGTTTGACCTTGCATATCTTTAGTTTTATGATTTGTGACCATTTAAAAGACATTAATTGCTATATTTACATAGTTAAGATGACCATCTATGACCAAGATCATAAAGCAGTGTTGCTATCTATAATGATAGTAGGCTATTGCATTAAATGGCTTCATTATGGTTTGCTTCTTTTCTTTAGTAGCTTAGCTTGTAGTAGCTAACTGCTTTTTCAAATAGTTACCTTGACTCTACATTCAGTAGCTTCAGACGCTACATTTACAAACACTGTTTTTTATGTTGTCAAGGTGACTGAAAGTGTCTTTCAGTTAAAAGCTTTTGTGTAGTTATCATTCTTGGTGTGAACAGGCCTTAAGTACATACTTTACACCAAGAAAGATAACATTAATTACAGTAGTTCCCACACCAACAGGCTATGCTCAAGTTCTTTAAAGGGGTCGTAGGATGCGCATTTACCACAAGTTGATACGATTATTTAGGGTCTTAATGAAAAGTCTGCTTAAATAATAGTTTGGTTAAAATTTCTCAATGGTAGTGTAAAAAAACACCTTTTTTACCCTGTCAAAAACAGCTCTTTTCAGATCAAGCCGTTTTTGTAGCATTTTCCTTTAAATGTTAATGAGCTCTGCTGACCCCGCCCCTCTCGCACCGAACCCCCAACTGCTCCCCGGGCGCCGCAGCAAAAAATGGCTGCCCACTGCTCCGGGTGTGTGTTCACGGTGTGTGTGTGTTCACTGCTGTGTGTGTGCAGTTTGGATGGGATAAATGCAGAGCACTAATTCCTAGTATAGGTCACTTCACTTCACTTCACTTCACTTCACTCACATTAGCAAAAAAAAAAAAACATTCTGAAAGTGATTCCAACAATATCGTTCCTCTGTTTCGTTATCGTTATAACTGTGGTGTGGACTTCCCTATTCTCATACAAGTTGAATGATTATTTAAACTTTATAGTTTTAGTTATGGTTAGGGCTAGTTCACACCAAGAACGATAACTATATAGGCATCCACGACAGAGCTGCAGTTTCGTCATCTGCTGCTTTAAATGCTCAAACTTTTTAAAGTCAGGTGGATTCTGATTGGCTCTCAACGTTTTTATGGTTCTTCAGCTGGAAAAAAATCACTCTGAAAGTAATGCCAACAATGTGGTTTCTCTATATCATGTCGGTATCATTAAGCTGTGGAATGGACTTCACATAGAATTAAAATGATTATTAAAACTTTATCATTATCGTCTGCCTTTCAGTGTTTGCAGCAGTGATCTATCATAGGCTACAGCTTTTTTTCCTGGGTGTGGCACTCTGAAATATCTCACAAACAATTAAATATCTGCATTGTTTTAATGCAACTAGCGACTGCCTTGTGCTCTTTTGGTAAGAGTTCTCATATGGTTTTTATGGTTTTATATTCAGTAGCTGCTTTTGAGGCGTATTGTAACCAGAACTTCTATTAGAGGGTCTCAGAGGAAACTGGTTGTCTATTAGATTAATGGAAAGTTTTGCTCTTAGGCAATAATACCCTCTTTTCTCTCTAAACCGGTTTTCACAGTCCAAAATACCTCAGCAGTCCACTGCCACTGTGATTTGTGTGTGAATGTGAGTGTGTGTGTGTTGGCTCTCAGTGTTATTGTGAGCTCCCTTAGCTGCGCTTACGAGAAAGAAACAATCCATAGTGAAACTATTTTACAGGAGGAAACTTTGCCCACAGAGCTCAGAATATCTTTGCGCACTGAGCTATTTTAACTGTCTCGGAGTGCAGGCACAGGTTGTTTTCCTGAAAGTCCAGCTGAGCTCAGGTTTACATGTGGACCCTGGCCTCCAGCGTGTGCCTTTTTTTGCTGATGCCTGCCTCAAGACAGTCTTCTTCATCATGTGCCCTTTTTCAGCCCTCAACTGCGCTGAAGGAGGGAGTGTGTGTCATATCTTGTTGAAATGCCTTTGGTCATATTTCAGAGGAATCTGTCTCTGCTGGCACCATGAAATTATTCGCCTAGCCCCTGCGGTGAGTTGCTTGCAGTGTGTGTGTGTGTGTGTGTGTGTGTGTGTGTGTGCAAGGGCATTAGCGAAAGAGATTTTTATGACCTCAGGGCGTTTCTCCATATGAATGAATCTATGTTTATGTCAATGAGGCAGTTTTCGTCTCCAGCAAGAAAAAATGCTAGTTAGAGGCCGGCTGCTTCCTTCTGAACGATCAAACTTGTCATGCCACCACGTCTGTCATCTGCACACTTATGCCGGGAATGTGTTGTTTGAGTCTGGAAGAATGACGGGGGAGTTGGTTGTCATGACGGGAGAGGCTGAGAAAGCCGCTCTGATGTCTCACGGACGTGACAGCTGATCTGATGAAAGTGAGTTTGCCAGATGTCTTAACTGGCTATTTGCTAGCTCCAGGAATTGTTATGTCCAGAAGCTAATG